GAATCCGACCTGTGACCGAACCACTCTGTCAACTAAACCACCACACCAAGGGCCTCGTTCAGGCTTTCCTTAAAAAAGGAAAGGTGACTCCACCACGCCCTGGGCAGCGCATTCCAAGGTCTAAAGACCCTTTCTTGGGAACATAATTTTCCTAATGCCCAACCTAAACAACCCCTGGTGCAGCCTAATCCGACTCCTCTCCATTTATCGCTAGTTCGCCTTGCTGCCCGCAGCTGTGAGCGCCCTCTCCTGTCCCCAACCTCGTGGTACCTTGTGAGGCACCATGGCTATTTTCTGTGCCCTTTTTGGTAGCTCCGGTGGCAGTACCTGCCCTGTTGTGCTCCGGGAGAAAGGAGATCCTCCTGCTAGGAAAGAGGTGGCAGGTTAGCAAAAAGAAATGACTGCAGCGCGTTTTCATAACTCGCGTGACATTATACGATGTTGCTTGTAGGGCGGATGTTTATCCAGGTCATGGGTGTGAGATATTCTCCCGACAATTTAACAAGGAAAGATGAAGTGCGTTCAAAGTGACTAAGCTGTGATAGCTTGTCTTCATTGCCTTTGGTCCATGAAAACCATTACCAACTGTCTGAGGCAACATGGGAGCACCAAAGGGATGAGAACTTTGCATGGGGRTGATGGGGAAGATGTGTGSTAATGTCTTTACAAAYGATTCCATGTGTGAGGGGATGGGTGTTAACGTCTTTGAAATGGGAATTACATTTGAAAGTTACAAGATGACAGGTTCAAGGGGGGATATGTGTTAGGCGGTTTGGGAAGGCTGTACCTTCCTAGTACCTCGGGCAATGGGGGGAGGAAGAGGGCAAAACGCGGCCAGGAGTTTAGGATAAAAGGGAGCTGTGCCTTCCAAAACCTCGAGAGAGAAAACCCCGTGGGCACGTACCCCTGTGGACTCTCTCCCTTTATTCGAATAAAGTTGCAGGGCTCCTCTGTCTTCTTTGTGGACACTGGCTTTTCATAGTGTGATTTTCCATACAGGGGACACAGCTCAGAAGGAAAGCAGGAAGGAGCTCTGCCTGAACCTCGACCCAGCTGCAGGGATGAATCAGGCTGGGGGAAATTCTGTGATTCACACCATGTATTGCAGTGCAAGGACAAGCATAAGGTCAGGGTTTGACAGAGAGAATGAGGAAGAGAGAACCTTATGACTTCTTGGGGTGATCATGAAGCTGGAGCAGAGTGCCAGGCTGCTCCAGAGGCTGGGAATAGACAGGGTGCCTCCAGCAGCCACTCAGAGCAGGTGCAGCACTGAGGCCATCTGCAGTACAGCCATGCCTTCAGTGTGCACAGCACCTGGTAGCGGGACCAGAATGTGATCAGCACAGAAAATGATTTTCTACCAACCAAGCATGTGCTTAAAGAAAAAAAATCTCCATTTATCT